AACCAAGAGTTGGATGCTCAACCGACTGAGCCATCAGGTGCCGCAAGGAACTAGAATTGAAATAAAAACGTATAACATAAATATGAATAAATAAACCTCTGATTCTTTGAGGTTGTCCAAATTGTTGCTGTGTACTCTTCACAATAGTTCCTTTGAGCCTTTGTTTTGGTGTGTCCATTGTGATATGTTAGCCAACTAGAAATCGTGGTTTTGAATAGCCTTGGTGTGACTGTTCTCAGCGAGAGCGAGGTGAGTGGCTTGGGGAAGGGGAGCAGGAGGGCCGTGTGATTGCTGACCGAGGGGGACCCCAGGCTGTGCCCCACGGATGCCACTGCTCTGCAATAGCCATCGTTCCCTCCCACTTCTCACTTGTGTTCGTGGCGCCTGTCACAGGGGACCCGTCAATGCCCCACATCGTGGCCCAGGTGGTGCCCGTCAAAAAAACACCAAATGGAACAAATGGCATGGCCTGAAACCTGTTACATTTGCAAAATTCTAGTGAGAATCCTGTGTTCAGGAACCTCTGGTAATTTCCTAAGTTGGTACTTACTCTTGGTGTTAAAAAATGAAGGGGTACGCAGGTCTCGGTGCTTCACATGGTGATTTTCTGGTTGGGATTTACTTTGTGCTAGGGGAGGTCATAGAACGAGACAGAACATCTCTCTTTGCACGGTAGCCCAGCCCCACCCATAGCATCTGGCTGTGAGCTGTGGGTAGATCGTGTGCCCTGGGGTGAAATTGTGAGACCTGGAACAAGATCATCTCACCAGCAGGTGCCTGAAGCCAGTGTAGGGATACACCCCTGCAAGCTGCTTTGCATTGCTGGGGGGATTACAGAATGATCATTTGATCCCTGTCCGTGTTCGAAAATGGCCAAGTCATTATTGTGAAATCTGAAAATCAGGCCCTCCTGAGAGAAGAGAATCCTTCACCAATGTTGGTGGGGCCCTGAAACCCTGCCACTCCATTCATGTCATCTTCCCTGAGTGCCTGCCCTGGGCAAGGCAAGGGCTTTGGGGGGAGGCCAAGATAGATGCAGTCCCGGCGTCCAGGGGCCCAGGTTCCCATCAAGGCGTGTGGCCTGTCAACAAGTATGTGGTGAGCAGAACAGAGAGGGGAAGGCACTCCGTGCCATTTGAGAGGCTAGAGGAAGGTTTCCTGTGCCATTTGAGGGTGATGTCACTGACGCATGGCCCTCCTGTCCACCCCGCGGGGTACCAGATCGCCACCGCCTGGCCGGCAGTAGCCCCAGCACGTTCACCACTGTGGAGGTGGGTGCCATGGTGAGGCAGTTCATGGGCACCAAGCTGGCCCTGGAGTCGGCATACATCTTCAGGCTGCCGGCCAAGTTGAGGCAGGGCTGGGCAAGCTGCTGTAGGCCCCCGTCGTCACCACTGAGAAGAGAGGTAAGACCCGAGGCCCAAGTCCACTGTCGTGGTGCTACAGGGAGGAGAGCTGGGCAGGAAACGGAGCCGGGAACTTGCATGGTCCACGACGTCCAGGTCAGGCCCTGTACCGTCGCGTGTCTACACAGCCTGACATTTATCAGCCAGGCAGGAATGTCCCCGGTTTAATGCTAGAGACTCGGCTCAGAAAGGTTGTGTAACTGGCCCAGGGTGGCTCTGAGTCACTGTGTTGGAGGGCAGCTCCCTGAAGCCAGGCACTTGGTCTCTGATGTTCAAAACCATGTGCCCAGCTGAGCAGGTGCTCATTAAAGTTTCCTGTGGAGCAATCGTAGGGAGATCTGTCTTCATGGACGCCGCTTCTGTTGCAAACACTGGCGAGATGCTTATTGTACATTGTCTTGGTTTATCCTCACCAAAGCCTGGGGAACAAAGCTCTGTGAGCCCCAGTTCTACAGAAGAAGTGGGGGTCCAGACAGATTCAGTCATTTCCTGCTGTGGGGGCAGTGATGTGAACACCCTTCATAGACCCCCCCCCGACCCCCTTTTCCCACACCAATCTTCTGTGAGTTCCCATCTCGGCAAGCCCCTGACATGCCCTTCAGCCTCGCTGTGGAATCTGCCTCAGCAGGCTCCCTAACCAAGGCCACCCCAATTCCAGGTGTGGAGGTCAGGGCCAGACCCAGAGGTCTGAGGGAAGAGGAGGACAGGAAGGCACTTGCACGCAGAGCCAACGGGTGCGCTCGGAGAGATGGCCTGTCCTACCTCCCATGTGGGAGTGCCTAGCGCCAGGCTCTGGAGCTGTGTGACCTTAGGCAAGGCCCTTCCCCTCTCTGTGCCCTGGCGCCCACCTGGTGGCCTCTTGGGAAGCACCCAAGGGCCAGCACCGTCCACGTGGTGCCATGGCCTTGCTCAGAGTGTGAGCCGGTGTCCCCGCGTGTGATCACTCTAGGACAAGATCTAGAGCAGATGGTTTAAGTGAGGCAGGGGTTGAACCCAGAGTGCTTGAAAAACAATCCAAAGGGCTGATCTGAAACCTACCAAAGATAGAAGGCAAAAGAGGCCGGCGTGCACTGAGCTCTTGCCACCTTCTGGCCACCTTCCAGGCATTGCAGCCCATTGCTCTCTCTACTTCCACACATCAGGCCGAACCTGTCCTCTGGGGTTTTTGTGGAGGCTTCATTCCATAGGCTAGACTGATGAAAGCATTGGCCATTGGCCATTGATTGAACCTCCAGCCCCTCTCCCGTCCTCAGAAGTCATGGGTGGGACCAAAAGTTCCAACCCTCTGATCACAACGTTGGTTGTCCTGGTGACCAGCCCACATCCTCATTAACATGACAAGAGACACCTTTGTCACTCTGGACAAAGACGTGTATATGAGAAACAAGTTTTCTCCTCTGAATGGCTAAATAGATATTCTTCTTACAAGTCACAACATTGCAAACATGGCTCCAGTCTCTGCTTCTGTGCTCACAGGACGCCCTCCCAGCGGTGTGTCCAAATTTCTCTCCTCTTCTAAGGATGTTTGGATCGCCTTATTGCCTCACTATTTGTCAAATGATTGCTGGATCCTAAATTGCTTCTCAAAATATGGCTTTCTTCATGTTCAGCAACGGATCATGTGGAACACTTGGGCTCCCCATGTGAATTAGCTATTATAATACCTTGCTCATGTTCATCTGTTCAGAGTTTGCAGTTACATTTACAAGCAGCTTTGCTGTTAGTGACCTCAAGCTTGAAGGTAGTCCTCTTGACTTAGGTGTCATTGAAAAGACCCCTCGATGCTTTGTTTTGGGGTTTTGGGGGCATCGGTAGGTTTAGCTTGTATTTGTAGGACCCAGGACTCTATACATGCATTTATGTCAGGTAGATTTCTAGAAGTGTAATTGTTGGGTTAAAAGGCAAGTGCATTGAAAACCTTGATAAATAAAACCAAATTGCCCTCCAAAAAAGAAACCAGTCCCTGGATTAGGGTGCTTCCTACTGCACTGTGACTTGCTCTTAACTGCAAGGTCTGCAAAACCCTGTGTCCATATAAGCTGGCATCCACAGGTACCAGGGGTTAGAACACCAACGTATCTTTTTGGAGGACACAGTTCAACCCACAACAGAGCAGTTTTCGTACAACAAAGCTGTGGCCTCTACTCTGAGACCAGGACAGCATTTCCTAAGATGCTGGTGGCATCCTACAGACACCGGCTGTGTAGGCATCACTGAGAATTCAGCGTGCATCCATCTCTGGACAAGCTTCACCGCCCTGCTGCAGCCAGGGGTCATGGGCATGCCCTTTGTCCATCTGTCTGGTCACAGCTTGAGCGGTTCTTGTCCTTATTTGCTGAGTATTCCAGAGGACACCCGGGACCAAGAGCCCCTGGCCCCCTGGCCTGCACTCTGGCTGCTGCAGCCCTCCCCAGACTAATTAACCAACAGAAATTGACGGGAGGGAGAATGTGAGCTGGGCATCTCTGTGTGCATCCTGGTGTGGGTTCAATTCTGAGATTCAGGGCCTGGCTACCACCATTCATGTTCCACAGGGTGTCAAAATGTCAAATGAGCACCTGCCCTACCCTAGGCCCGCCCTTCATTGTCACCTGACATTGGAGGGACCATGGGGCTTCCAGCTTAGGTCTGAGTCAGGGCAGAATAGGGGTGATCTGGCATGCAGAGCACTCACTGCACGCCCCGTCCCCAGTGAGGCTGCCACAAACCTGGGTGGGAGATGCCCTGGAGGGCCAGAGGAGATGGGGCTCACCTCCAGGGGGCACAGCCACTGGGGTGGACAGGTCTCTGTGGCAGCCCAGGTGTGCACGGAGAGGGGTGGCCCATGGAGAGCTCCTGGGCTTTGGGGACTTGCACCCAGTGTGGCGATCAGGGGGGGCTTCACGGAGGAGGAGCCATTTGAGATAGGTTGTCAGGGAAAAGGGATTTCACCGAGGACACAAGGGAAGGTAAGATTTACAAGGGCCCAGCAAAGCTAAATGTTCAAGGAGTGGGAAGAGCGAGGTGTTCCCAGGCCAGCTGACCCCTGTCTCTTTCCACCTGTAGCTCCGAGAAACACCGGTGCTACGACGTCATCCTGACGGCCTACAACATCATCGGCGAGAGCCCAGTAGCGCGCCCGTGGAGGTGTTCGTCGGCGAGGCCGGTAAGCTCCGGGTGCCCCTGCCTTCTGGGAGGCCTGGCCTGGCGCTCTCAGGGGCTGAGCAGCGTGCCCATGTTGATGAGCATGGTGCCTGTGCGAGGCTAGGAGGCTCCGGCGTGGGTCAGCGTGGGGAGGGGTGTCGGAAGCGCCGGCGGGCACCTGCGGGGAACACGGTGGCATCAGTGGTGTCAGCGGCGGCAGCAGTAGTGCTGGCCGTCAGTCGGAGTCAGCGTTCGGCAGCAGCGGAAGCTCCCGGCAGCAGAGGCAGCAGCCGTATGAGCAGCGGGTGGCGGCAGCGGTAGGTGCCGGGATAGTGGGCGTCGGTATGTGGCAGCGGGAGGCGGTGGAGGCAGGGGCGGCAGGAAGCGGTGGGACGCAGGCAGCTGGCGCCGCAGGCAGGCAAGAGCCGGCAAACGGCAGGCAGGCGGCAACAGGAAGCGGCCACAGCGGTTTCAGGTGGCGGTGGCAGTAAGCGGCGGAAGACAGCGGAGGCAGGCGGCGGGGGAAGGTGGCAGGATGAGGGAGGCTGCAGTGGCGGCCGGCAGTGCGGGCAGCCGGTTCCAGGTGCCAGCGGTAGGCAAGCGGAGGCGGCAGGTAGGAGGTAGCAGGTGCAGGCTGCAGTAAGCAGCGGCTGGCAGGCAGGCCACGGCAGGCAAGGGCCGCGGGTGGTGCCAGGACATAGCAGGCGGCGGGGGCAGGCAGTCGGCGGGGGCAGGCAGGCGGCAGACAGCAGCATTAGGCAGACGGCAGCTGTGGCAATTGGCAGGTGGCAGCGGTAGGCAGACGGTGCCGGCAGTGGTGGGGGTAGGCAGGCAGCGTTGGCATGCATCCTCGGGGTTAGGTAGCTGGGCCCGGTGAGCCAGGCTGCGGCAGCAGACGGCGGTGGCAGGCGGCGGCAGGATGCGGAGGCAGGCAGGCGGCCACGGATGCCGGCGGGCAGCAGGCGGCGGGTGCACGCAAGAGCGGTGGTTGGAGAAGGCAGGTGGCGGCGGCAGGCAGAGGTAAGCGGCAGCAGGGGGCGGCAGTGGCAGACGGCAGTGGTAGTACTGACTGGTGGCGGCAGCAGGCAGGCGGTGGCAGGTGGCGGTGGCAGCACTGGTGGGCAGTGGCGGCAGGCAGCGGCAGGCAGGCGGTGGCAGTCGGTGGCAGGCGGCAGCGGGCAGCAGGAGAGGTGGCAGCGGTGACAGCACCAGCGGGTGGCGTCTGCGGCTGCAGCGGCTGCAGGGGCGGCAAGGGCTGCAGGGGCGCCAGCTTTGGGCAGCCCAGGGTCATTGGGCGGCAGTGTGTGGCAGCCTCAGCAGCAGGTGCCATTGGCTTCAGCGGGAGTCACCGGCGGGGGAAGCAGGCGCCGCAATAGGGGCGGGGTCAGCAGCAGGCGGGTCAGCGGCGGCAGCGTGGGTCAGCGTGGGGAGGGGCGCCGGAGGTGCCGGCGGGCATAGTCGGGTTACGCGGCTGCGTCGGCAGCGTCGGCGGCGTCAGCAGTAGTGCTGGCGTCAGTCGCCTTCAGCGTTGGGCAGCAGCGGAAGCTCCGGGCAGCAGAGGCAGCAGCAGGAGTATCAGCAGCGGGCGGCGGCAGCGGTAGGTGCCGGGTTAGTGGGGCCAGTATGTGGCAGAGGGAGGCGGTGGAGGCAGTGGAGGCAGGGCGCGGCAGTAAGCGGTGGGGGCAGGGAGGCAGGTAGCGGCAGGCAAGTGTAGTGGGCGGCGGCGGTAGGCGATTGCAGGCGGCGGGAGGAAGAGTTGGCAGGCTGTGGTAAGCAACGGCAAGCAGGCAGGCGGCCGCGGCAGGCACGCAAGGGCGGTGGGTGGCAGAAGGCAGGTGGCGGCGGCAGGCAGAGGTAAGCGGCAGCAGGGGCCGGCAGTGGCAGACAGCAGTGGTAGTACTGACTGGTGGCGGCAGCAGGCAGGCGGTGGCAGGCGGCGGTGGCAGCAGTGGTGGACAGTGGATGCAGGCAGCGGCAGGCAGGCGGTGGCAGGCGGTGGCAGGCGGCAGCGGGCAGCAGCAGAGGTGGCAGCGGTGGCAGCACCAGCGGGTGGAGTCTGCGGCTGCATCGGCTGCAGGGGCGGCAAGGGCTGCAGGGGCGCTAGCTTTGGGCAGCCCCGGGTCATTGGGCGGCGGTGTGTGGTAGCCTCAGCAGCAGGTGCCATTGGCTTCAGCCGGAGTCACCGGCGGGGGAAGCAGGCGCCGCGATAGGGGCGGGGTCAGCAGTAGGCGGGTCAGCGGCGGCAGCGTGAGTCAGCGTGGGGAGGGGCGCCGGAAGCGCCGCGGGCATCTGCGGGTTACGCGGTGGCGTCAGTGGCGTCAGTGGCGTCAGCGGCGTCAGCGGCGGCAGCAGTAGCGCTGGCGTCAGTCGGCTTCAGCTTTGTGCAGCAGCGGAAGCTCCAGGCAGCAGAGGCAGCAGCAGGCGTATCAGCAGCGGTCGGCGGCAGCGGTAGGTGCCGGGTTAGTGGGGTCAGTATGTGGCAGCGGGAGGCGGTGGAGGCAGTGGAGGCAGGGGGCGGAAGTAAGCGGTGGGGGCAGGGAGGCAGGTAGCGGCAGGGAAGTGTGGTGGGCAGCGGCAGGCAGGGTTGGCAGACAGGCGCCGGCGGTAGGCGATTGCAGGCGGCGGCAGGATGCGGTGGCAGGCTGTGGTAAGCAACAGCAGGCAGGCAGGCGGCCGCGGCAGGCAGGCAAGGGCGGCGGGCGGTGGAAGGAGGTAGCAGGCAGCGGCGTCGGCAGGGGGCGGGGGCAGGCAGGCTGCGGCAGGCAGGTGGCAGACAGTTGCTGGCAGGCTGCAGCACTGGGGGTACGCAGTAGCCGCAGGTGGCAACAGGCAGTGGCGGCAGGAAGCGGCGGCGGGCAGGTGGTGGGGGCAGGTGGCGGCGGCTTGCAGGCCACGGCTAGAGGCAGGCAGGGGGCCGCGGAGGCAAGAGGTAGCAGGCGGCGGTGGCGGCAGGGGGCGGGGGCAGGCAGGCTGCGGCAGGCAGGTGGCAGACAGTTGCAGGCAGGCTGCAGCACTGGGGGTACGCAATAGCCGCAGGTGGCAACAGGCAGTGGCGGCAGGAAGCGGCGGCGGGCAGGTGGTGGGGGCAGGTAGTGGCGGCCGGCAGACCCCGGCTAGGGGCAAGCTGGGGGCGGCGGCGGCAAGAGGTGGCAGACGGGGGCAGGCAGTGGTAACCCGCGGGAGGAAGCGGCGGCAGGCGGCAGGCCAGGCAACAGCGTTAGGTAGGCGGCAGCGGTAGGCATGTGGTGGCGGTGGGCTGCCGTGGCGGGTAGTGGTAAGTGGCAGCAGGCGGGGGTAGGCGGCGGTGGTAGGTAAGCAGCAGCAGGCCGTGGCGGGCTGCAGGGTGCAGGGGCCAGGCAGGAAGCGGCGGCTGACAGTCGCAGCCGGCTGTAAGCGGTGGCAGAAAGCGGCGGCAGGTGGCAGGGGCAGGTGGCAGGGGGAGGCGGGCTGCAGCGGCGGCAGGCAGTGAGGGCAGCAGACGGCAGCGGCAGGCGGTGGGGGCAAGCGGGCTGCAGGGGGCAGCGGCAGCAGGTGGCGGCGGTAGGCAGGCAATGTTGGCAGGCATCGTCGAGGTTCGGCAGCGGAGGCTGGTGGCAGTAGCCGCAGATGGCAACAGGCGGTGGTGGCAGGAAGCAGTGGCAGGCGGGTGGCGGGGACAAGTGGTGGCCGCAGGCAGCAGTGTTAGGAAGGCGGGAATTGCAGCTGTTGGGAGGCGGCAGTAGTAGGCATGCGGTGGTGGCAGGCTGCGGTGGCGGGCAGTGGTAAGCGGCAGCAGGCGGCGGTGGTAGGGAAGTGGCAGTGGGCTGTAGCGGGCAGCGGGCAGTCGGGGCAGACAGGCGGTGGCAGGCAACGTCGGCAGCGGGCTGCAAGCGGCCGCGGTAGGCAGGTGGTGGTGGTGGTGGCGGCAGGTGGCGGCGGTAGGCAGCGGTAAGCGGCGGCAGGGGTTGCGGGCAGGCAGGCGGAGGCAGGGGGACACAGGCAAGGACGGCGGGCGGCGGCAGGCAGGGTTGGCAGACAGGCGGTGGTGGTAGGTAGTAGCAGGCAGCCCCGGCAGGAAGCGAAGGCAGGCGGCAGTGGCAGCAGGCGGCAGCGCGGGCAGGCTGTGGTAAGCCGTGGCTGGCAGTCAGGCAGCCACAAGCAAGGGAGGCGGGCGGTGCAAGGAGGTAGCAGGCGGCGGCGGCAGGAAGCGGTGGGACGCAGGCAGCTGGGGCGGCAGGCAGGCAAGCCCCGGCAAGCGGCAGGCAGGCGGCAACAGGAAGCGGCGGTAGCGGTGTCAGGCGGCAGTGGCAGGAAGCGGCGGCAGACAGAGGAGGCAGGTGGCGGGCGAAGGTGGCAGGAGGAGGCAGGCTGCAGCGTAGGCAGGCAGTGGGGGCAGTGGGCTGCAGGCGCCAGCGGTAGGCAGTGGCGGTAGGTAAGAGGTAGCAGGTGCAGGCTGCAGTAAGCAGCGGCTGGCAGGCAGGCCATGGCAGGTAAGGGCCGCGGGTGGTGTAAGGATATAGCAGGCGGCGGCGGCAGGCAGGCGGCGGGGGCAGGCAGGTGGCAGACAGCAGCATTAGGCAGGCGGCAGCAGTAGGCCGGCGGTGCCGGCAGCGGTTGGCGTAGGCAGGCAGCGTTGGCATGCATTCTCGGGGTTAGGTAGCTGGGCCCGGTGGAGCCAGGCTGCGGCAGCAGACGGCGGCGGCAGGCAGGCGGTCACGGATGCCGGCGGGCAGCAGGCTGCAGGCGCAGGCAAGGGCGGTGGGTGGCAGAAGGCAGGTGGCGGCGGCAGGCAGAGGTAAGCGGCAGCAGGGGCCGGCAGTGGCATACGGCAGTGGTAGTACTGACTGGTGGCGGCAGCAGGCAGGCGGTGGCAGGCGGCGGTGGCAGCACTGGTGGGCAGTGGCGGCAGGCAGCGGCAGGCAGGCGGTGGCAGGCGGTGGCAGGCGGCAGCGGGCAGCATCAGAGGGGGCAGCGGTGGCAGCACCAGCGGGTGAGGTCTGCGGCTGCATCGGCTGCAGGGGCGGCAAGGGCTGCAGGGGCGCTAGCTTTGGGCAGCCCCGGGTCATTGGGCGGCGGTGTGTGAAAGCCTCAAGAGCAGGTGCCATTGGCTTCAGCCGGAGTCACCGACGGGGGAGGCAGGCGCCGCGATAGGGGCGGGGTCAGCAGCAGGCGGGTCAGCGGCGGCAGCGTGAGTCAGCGTGGGGAGGGGCGCCGGAAGCGCCGCGGGCATCTGCGGGTTACGCGGCGGCGTCAGTGGCGGCAGCGGCGGCAGCAGTAGTGCTGGTGTCAGTCGGCTTCAGCGTTGGGCAGCAGCGGAAGCTCCGGGCAGCAGAAGCAGCAGCAGGAGTATCAGTAGCGGGCGGCGGCAGCGGTAGGTGCCGGGTTAGTGGGGGTCAGTATGTGGCAGCGGGAGGCGTTGGAGGCAGTGGAGGCAGGGGGCGGCAGTAAGCGGTGGAGGCAGGGAGGCAGGTAGCGGCAGGCAAGTGTGGTGGGCGGCGGCGGTAGGCGATTGCAGGCGGCGGCAGGAAGCGGTGGCAGGCTGTGGTAAGCAACGGCAAGCAGGCAAGGGCGGCGGGTGGTGGAAGGAGGTAGCAGACGGCGACGGCGGCAGGGGGCGGGGGCAGGCAGGCTGCGGCAGGCAGGTGGCAGGCAGTTGCAGGCAGGCTGCAGCACTGGGGGTACGCAGTAGCTGCAGGTGGCAACAGGTGGTGGCGGCAGGAAGCGGCGGCGGGCAGGTGGTGGGGGCAGGTGCCGGCGGCTTGCAGGCCACGGCCAGAGGCAGGCAGGGGGCCGCGGCGACAAGAGGTAGCAGGCGGCGGTGGCGGCAGGGGGCGGGGGCGGGCAGGCTGCGGCAGGCAGGTGGCAGACAGTTGCAGACAGGCTGCAGCACTGGGGGTACGCAGTAGCCGCAGGTGGCAACAGGCAGTGGCGACAGGCAGCGGCGGCGGGCAGGTGGTGGGGGCAGGTAGTGGCGGCGGGCAGGCCCCGGCTAGGGGCAGGCAGGGGGCGGCAGCGGCAAGAGGTGGCAGACGGGGGCAGGCAGTGGTAAGCGGCAGGAGGAAGCGGCGGCAGGTGGCAGGGCCAGGCAGCAGCGTTAGGTAGGCGGCAGCGATAGGCGTGTGGTGGCCGTGGGCTGGCGTGGCGGGTAATGGTAAGTGGCAGCAGGCGGTGGTAGGCGGCGGTGGTAGGTAAGAAGCAGCAGGCCGTGGCGGGCTGCAGGCCCCAGGGCCCAGGCAGGAAGCGGCGGCTGATAATCGCAGCCAGTCATAAGCGGTGGCAGAAAGCGGCGGCAGGTGGGGGCAGGTGGCAGGGGGAGGCGGGCCACAGTGGGGGCAGGCAGTGTGGGAAGCAGGCGGTAGTGGCCGCAGGCAGCGGAGGCAAGCGGGCTGCAGGGAGCAGCGGCAGCAGTTGGCGGCGGTAGGTTGGCAGCGTTGGCAGGCACCGTCGAGTTTAGGCAGCGGAGGCTGGTGGCAGCAGAGGAGGTGGCAGGTGGCGGGCTGCAGGTGGCGGCGGTAGAGAGCGGTAAATGGCAGCAGGGGGTGCGGGCAGGCAGGCGGAGGCAAGGGGATGCAGGCAAGGGTGGCAGGCGGCAGTGGAAGGAAGCGGTGGCGGGCAGGTGGCTGGGGCGGTAGGCAGCGGTAACTGGCAGCAGCTGGCGGGGGCAGCGGCCCGGTGGTGGTACGGGCAGGGTCAGCGCTGGGCAGCCAGCGCCAGCAAGCAGCAGGCGGCAGAGAGCGGCAGCGTGGGCCAGCCGCGTCGGCGGTCAGCAGCAGCATCTGCGATGGGCAGCGGGTGTCAGTGGCGGTAGCTGGGGGCTGTGGCGGTATGGCTGGGAGCAGAGAGAGCCAGGGGCAGCGGTGTCCTTGGAACCCTAGCATGCTGCGGTTCCGAGGAAGAGGTGCCCCTCAGCCTGGTATCTGCAGGGCACACAGGGGGCCACCCAGGACCCAGAGGCTGAGCCTGAGGCGGCGTGCCAAGTCCTGCTTCCTCCCATTGGGGAGGCCAGTTGAGTTCGGCCTCTGCCCTGGGCCTGAGCTTCAGTCTCTCCATCTGTAAATTGGGCAGAACAGCAAAACCTTAGGGTTATGGTGCAGATTTAACGTAGGTAATGGGTTTCCTCTAGACTGGTTCAGAGTACAGGTTGTCATTCCTCTTATTCCACTTCCAACTGTGTGACTTTGAGCAAGATAGGTAATCACCAGGCCTCAGAATTCTCATCTGAGAGATGGGTCTGCAAAGAGGACCTATATAGGCTTGTTTTGGGGATTTAGTGAAGTAGTACACAGAACCCATTTCCAAAATCAATGTAAATCATGGTTCCTGGCTCGAGATAAGTGCAGTACGAGTCTTTGGGATGAATATCACAGAAGTATTAGTTATTGTTATTGCTAGCACCGGGGAAGGAACACCGTGATTGCCATCCTCATGATTATCATCGTGAGTTAATTGAGGAGCTGCTCTGTGCCTGGCGCTGGCTAAGCATTCTACACCCTTTATCAGTTTGCACTTCTCCATGGGCTAGGATCCTGATAGGCCTCTGAGTCTTAGAGACGCAGATAATGCTTGGAACCAGATTTCAATCCCTTGTCTTTGCAGCTCCAAAACCTGTGCTTCCAACCTCTCCATGATTGGGGCGTATCCGAAACCCTCATGCCTCTCTGCTTGACTCTGCACCTTACAGCTTAGAATAGGGCCTAACACAGGGGAATACAGAGGGATAAGTATTCTCTATTTCTGTTACCGTCGTAGTCTTTATTCCCTCGCAGTGCTTTATGGGCACAGATGTAACGGCGTTGGTTAGTGATTCAGATCAAGAGCTGACAGACCATCCCAACTGAGAGAAATGAGACCCATTTTATGTGCTCCTCTCCCCCTAGAATGACAGTCAAGAGACAGTGATGACTCAGAGGTTGCCAGTGAGTTAAAGAAGTTGGCTGCCCAGCCGCAAGAGCCTGAGTAGACAGCAGCGGCGACCTTTGGTAGCATCTCAAAAGACACCTACACGATGGAACATGCCCAGGGATTTGGAAAACCGGTAAGGCACTTTCCATACACCCTGCCTTGTTCTTCCTCAACTTCTTCAGTATCTCCCAGGAACTCCCTGCTTCTTCCTGTCATTTGAATATAGTGACCTTTTTTTTTTTCTTTAAAGATTTTATTTATTTATTTGAGACAGAGAGAATGAGAGACAGAGAGCATGAGAGGGAGGAGGGTCAGAGGGAGAAGCAGACTCCATGCCCAGCAGGGAGTCCGATGCGGGACTCGATCCCGGGACTCCAGGATCATGACCTGAGCCGAAGGCAGTCCCTTAACCAACTGAGCCACCCAGGCGCCCCTGAATATAATGACCTTTACTTCTTCCTTTCCAATTTGGATGTATTTTATTTCTTTATTTTTCTTGTGTAATTGCTCTGGCTGGGATTTCCAGTAGTATAATTGACCGTTGTCCATCGTCGTTTTGAATTGTGTGGTCCACTTAATACATTTTTTATTCAGTAAATACAGGCATTGCTTGTAAAGGTATTGTCCTTTTGAATTTTTTTTTCTTTTAAAATGATTATTTATATTCTCCTTACTTAACATACAGTGCAATATTGGTTTCAGGAGAATTCCGTGATTCATGACTTGCTTACAACCCCTACTACTCATCATAACAGTGCCCTCCTTAATCCCATCACCCAGCTAGACCATCCCCCAAACACCTCCCCTCTGTCAAATCTCTGTTTTCCAGCATCAAGAGTTTCTTACAGTTTGTTTCCCTCTCTGTTCTTTGTATTCCCCCTCCCATTTGTTGATCTGTTTTGTTTCTTAAATCCTTAGGAGTGAAATCACATGGTATTCGTCTTTCTCTGACTCACTTATTTTGCTTAGCATAATACACTCTAGCTTCATCAGGATTTTTTTTTTTAAAGAATTTATTTATTTCTTTTTCTTTTTTTTTAATTTTATTATGTTATGTTAGTCACCATACAATACATCATTACTTTTTGATGTAGTGAGCCACGGTCCATTGTTTTCGTATAACACCCAGTGCTCCATGCAGTACGTGCCCTCCTTAATACCCATCACTGGGCTCACCAATCCTCCCAACCCCCCTCTAAAACCCTGTGTGTTTCTCAGGTCCATAGTCTTTCATGGTTCATCTCTCATCCAATCCCCCCCCCATTTTTCCCTTCCTTCTCCTAATGTCCTCCATGTTTTTCCTTACGTTCCACAAATTAGTGAAACCATGTGATAATTGACTTTCTCTGCTTGACTTACTTCACTTAGCATAATCTTCTCCAGTCCCATCCATGTTGATGTAAAAGGTGGGTATTCATCCTTTATGATGGCTGAGTAATATTCCAGTGTATATATGGACCACATCTTCTTTATCCATTCATCTGTTGAAGGGCATCTCGTCTCTTTCGACCGTTTGGCTATTGCGGACATTGTTGCTATGAACATTGGGGTGCAAATGGCCCTTCTTTTCACTACATCTGGGTCTTTGGGACAAATACCCAGTAGTGCAATTGCTGGGTCATAGGGTACCTCTATTTTTAAATTTTTGAGGAACCTCCACACTATTATTTTTTGACAGAGAGAGACACAGCAAGGGAGGGAACACAAGCAGGGGGAGTTGGAAAGGAAGAAGGAGGCTCCCCACAGTCTTTGGATCCAATGTGGGGCTCGATTCCAGGACCCTGGGATCATGACCTGAGCCGAAGGCAGACGCTTAATAACTGAGCCCCAAGCTCCATCAGGATTTTCTTAATCACACTCTTTTTCTCTAGCTTACTTTGTTGTAAGAATACAGTCTAAAATACATATAACATTCAAAATATGTTGAATCAAATCTTTGTGTTCCTGATAACTTTTGTGGTCAACAGTAGGATATTAGTAGTTCAGTTTTGGGTGACTCAAAAGTATTCTCAGATTTTCAACTGCACAGGGGTTGGCAACCCTAATCCCTGCATTGTTCAAGGGCCAACTGTATGTTGAATAGAAGTGGCGAGAGTGTGCATCCTTGTCTTGTTCCTGATCTTAGAGGAGAAGCTTTCGGCTTTCACTCTTGCATAGGACGTGGCTTCTCAGGTATGGCCTTTATTAGGTTGAGTTACATTCTCTGTATACCTGCTTTGTTGAGAGCTTTTATCAAAATGGGTGTTGCGTTTTGTCAGATGCTTTTTCTGCATTGGTGGAGAAGATCATACGATTTTTACCCTTTGTTTTGTTAATGTGGCCTATTTCTTTGATTGATTTGTGGATGTTGAACCCCCCTTGCATCCCTGAAATAAATCTGACTTGTTCATACTTCTTCCTGTATTGTTGAATTTCGTTTGCTGTTATTTTGTTGAGGATTTTTATATCTATGTTCATCACAGATACGGGTCTGTAATTTTCTTTTCTTGTGGTATTTTGGTAGGGTTTGATAAGGGCAATGCTGGCCTCCTAAAAGGAGTTGAGAAGCATTCCTTCCTCTTGTATTTGTGGAAAAGTTTGAGAAGGATTGGTATTCATTTTTCTTTGAAAATTTGGTAGAATTCACCAGGAAACCATCTGGACTCCTGACTGTTGAGAGGTTTTTAATTACTCATTTTGTTTCCCTACTGGTAATTGGTCTGTTCAGAATTTGTGTCTTCATGATTCATTCGTGGAAGGTTGTGTGTTTCTTGGAATTTATCCTTTCCTTTTGGACGGTCAAACTTGTCGGGGTGTAATTGTTCACAGTAGTCTCTTATGAGCCTTTGTCTATGGTATCAATGGAAACATCTTTTTCATTTCTGATTATGTGTACTCATTCTTTTGTTTTTTACCTTGAGGCTAGCTGAAAATTTGTCAGCTTTTTTCTTTTCTTTCTTTCTTTTTTTTAAAGATTTTATTTATTTATTTGAGACAGAAAGAATGAGAGAGACAGAGAGCACATGAGAGGGCGGGAGGGTCAGAGGGAGAAGCAGGCTCCCTGCTGAGCAGGGAGCCCGATGCGGGACTCGATCCCGGGACTCCAGGATCATGACCTGACCCGAAGGCAGTCACTTAACCAACTGAGCCACCCAGGCGCCCTCAGCTTTTTTCTTTTCAAAGAACCAGCTCTTTTGTTGATCTTTCTATTGCCTTCATAGTCTGTATTTGATTTATTTGTTTGAGATGTTACTTCCTTTCTTCTATTAAATTTGGGCTTCCGTGTTCTTTTTCTGGTTCCTTGAGGTGGAAAGTTAGGCCGCTTATTTGAGACGATTCTTGTTTCTTGATTTATGCCTGTATCACTATAAACTACCATCTTAGAACCACTGTTTTTTAATTTTTTTAAAAAATTTTTATTGTTATGTTAATCACCATACATCATTAGTTTTAGATGTAGTGTTCCATGATTCATTGTTTGTGCATAACACCCCGTGCTCCATTCAGAATGTGCCCTATTTAATACCCATCACCAGGCTAAACCATCCTCCCACCCCCCTCCCCTCTAGAACCCTCAGTTTGTTTTTCAGAGTCCATCATCTCTCATGGTTCATCTCCCCCTCCAATTTACCCCCTTCATTCTTCCCCTCCTGATATCTTTTTCTTCTTTTTTTTTTTTTTTTTGTTTCTTAACATATATTGAATTATTCGTTTCAGAGGTACAGATCTGAGATTCAACCGTCTTGCACAATTCCCAAGGTTTACCAGAGCACATACCCTCCCCAATGTCTATCCCCCAGTCATCCCATCCCACCCCCCACTCCAGCAACCCTCAGTTTGTTTCCTGAGATTAAGAATTCCTCATTATCAGTGAGGTCATTTGATACATGTCTTTCTCTGTTTGACTTATTTCGCTCAGCATAATGCCCTCCAATTCCATCCACCTCG